TGGTTCGCGTGTTATTGCCGCTATTGACACCAGCGATAAGCGCCTGTCACACTATCAATACGGATCGCGATCCGTCAGTACTTACATAACTGTTGTGCTGCACACTTAGGGCCAGTTTTTCAGTGCCAGTTTAAACTTAGATTAAGTAAACTGAGTTTAAATTGAACAGCTGGTTGATATTTGATTGGCTGATCTTAGTTTAAACGAGCCGGATCGGGCATTTCAACCAAGCTTTAACCACGGCCGCGCACTGATAAACTGGCCCTTAATATGGCGCAATAAAATAGGGGTCTTCATCAAAAGTGATAAACTGTTGATAAACTAAATAAAATAATAAATGTATGATTTTGATAAATGAACTGTCAAACTTTGTATGGAAATCTATTTAACCTAAGTTTATCACTTTATCAAACGATATTGGTGGATAAATGTATAAATTTCAGCGAAATTCAACCCTGACAGGTTGCCAGGAAGTCACTTTTGCTACAAAAACATAAAAAGCAAATGAACACAATGGACGAGGCAAGAATGAAACATAACTAGCCTATAAGTTAAATAATGAACAATTTTATGCAGTTATTTACTAAGGTGCGTTCATGTAATATTGCGGATAAACAGATCAATTTAAGCAATTTATCCCTGTATCACTTTACATGCAGACCACTAAAATTTTTATTTTGTGCAAATGATTTACAGATAATGCATTCCATAATTATTTAAATAATTCAAATACTTTCAATCTATCTTGAAAGATTTTAAGCACTGAGAGCGAAAGCAGAACGCTCATGTTTTCGATGTTGCCATTATGAGAGTACAGAATGTATTGACGAAATGTATGAATCGCGTTTTGAAAATACTACACGCGGAATATTTATTGACATTATTGCGATTCGTGATCCGGATTAAAAAATTTCTAGATATTTGATGCTACTCTTCAAAAAATATCGTCACGCAAGCGAGATTTTCCAGCACGTGAAGACGGCCAGTTAGGTTGTTACTATCGATAGTTGTAGCCGATTACACAAGATCTGACAAGATGAAGCAAAAGAAAAAAGTAATTTTCTGGCTGACGTTTGTAATTTCGGCGCCATGTTATTTTCTTTAAAAAGTAAACAAAGAATGAGAAGACGAAGCATAAAGAAAAAAATGCAAGCAATTTTGTAGCACATGCTTGTGCTAACCAATTTATTATATATGTACGTTTTTGCAACCAATCACCGCGCACTTCAATTTAATTACATTTGCACAAAAAATTTATTGAAAATCGCTTAAAAATCACTGAAATAAACCACCGACAAAATACACATAAAGAAAGAAGCAAAACAGAAATAGCAAACTTCAAATTACGAACGACACACACTTTTTTCTCAATTGCTATTACAAATGGCTGCTCCTCAGACGGTCAGATCTATTCTAATTGGTTCATGGTAGCCGCCAACGTAGTAATGGGCCCTGTCACAAGGTCAGTATTTATTGACGTGATCCAAGTATCGCGATATTTATTGACAGTGTAACATGCAGTATTGATGGATGTGATCCATTTGGGCACTGTCACAAGGTCAGTATTTATTGACGTGATCCAAGTATCGCGATATTTATTGACGGTGTAGCATGCAGTATTGTTGGATCGTGATCCATATCGCAAAATTTCTAAAAATTTTGAAATCTGGATCGCGGACCGCGATATTGTCAATAAATATTGAACGTGTAGCACTTTCAAAACGCGATCCATACATTTCGTCAGTACATCTTTTACTCTCATAATGCGAACATCGAAAATGTATTCGCTCTGCCTTCGCTCTCGGTGTTTAAAACCTTTCTAAAGAAATTGAAAAAATTTTAGTTAACATTGGAAATTTTAAAATAATTTTGGAATGCATTATCTGTAAATTATACGCCCAAAATAAAAATATTTTCTTGCGTCATAATAAGCGTTCAGTACAAAAATTATGCAAATACTGACGCGATAAATATTGAACATGTAGCATTCGCGCACGATCCATCAATCCATCAATATGGATCGCGATCCAAATATCGTGATAATTACTGACAGGGCCCAATCGGAAGCGCTATTTTTACTATTTATGGTTATAAATGCAGTTATATATTTTAAATGAGATTTTTCGATTGGTGTGATCAGTTGGATATCTCCTTTAGTTTCCGAAATCTTGACTAAAAATGTTTTAGTAATATAGTAAAAATTTTGTTAATAATATATAAATTTAACAATTGCTTATACTAATAACATTCTCCGAGACTTTGGAGAAAATCTATCTTCGCGTTTTTGAGAAAATTATTTTCTAACTTTCGCGATTTCTCAAAACCTGCCGAAAGTAACATACGACGATTTTTTATACAGGCGACGATATGTATGTGCCATGTAAGCTAAAATATAAAACAGGTAAACGAAAATTGGATACATAGTATTTTTTGTATTTATTTTTTTTTTGCATGACAAGCCTTTCAGAATAATTTACCGTAAACATAGTTTACTGTAAAAAATAATTTCTCGTTTATCTAAATGTCAAATACAAATTATTTCGAAAATAAACGAATAAACATTAGAAGAGTACAGAACTTACCCCATGCTCACGATATAATTACCGGGTAAATGACGCGTAATTTACCGAGTCTATTCAGGTAGAGCGTGATTCAGACTATTAAAGAATTATGCATGTGTTAATAAAAAGTGCGCATGTATCGCGCGATGTAGGGAAGAAAGGTGGCGCAAACAACAAACCGCTGCTTTGGTTTTGCCGATTTTGACAATCCCCAAGTAAAATTAAATAACGCCTCAGAAACTTTACATGCACTGAAATTCACTAATACTTTCACAAATGTCACCGTTTTTAACATTTTCTCTATTATTTTTTTTCAAAACCATTAAACTACGTTTCCTACGAAACATTTTAAATCAAGAAAATGTATGCTTTTGAATGTCTCGCCTTTATTTTAATGCATTTGAAAATTGTCATCGCCGTCGGGAATGCGCATTCTGGAGTTTTATCATTCTTGTATGTATCGGTATTGTCATGGTGCATTGCCAGTGTAAGCACAAATGAAAATGAAAAATCGATTACCATTGATGTCAGGATTTCAGCTCCCAGGATATTTTATATTTGTATGAAGCTAAGTTGGACCATTTCCCGCTCACAATGTTAGCATTTCTCCAAATATTAAACATTTTATCAAATTTCTTTTACTTAATAATTTACTAGACATTTTTATTTTGAAACACACAAAATTTAAATTTTTAAAGAATTCTCAATAATGCTGCGCTAAAATGCAGCACTGTGTTGCAGAAAAGCTACCACAACCAGCAACACCAACCTACCACCCAGCATGGTGAGTACACAAAAAACAACAACCAACACACTGTGTTTATATTGCTTATTAGCGCGCAACGAACACATGGCTCGTTGGTCTAGAGGTATGATTCTCGCTTCGGGTGCGAGAGGTCCCGGGTTCAATTCCCGGACGAGCCCATTGGCTTGAGCGCTAAAACATAAGCAGCGCGCAAGCGTGTTCATATTTTTTATTTTCTTTTTTTTTTTAATTGAATAATTTTATAAACAACTTCGTATCTTTTTCACATATTTGCCTGTTGATTATGGAAAAAAATCACAAATTTCAATGTACATATTTGCGAATGTTATAAGCACTAAGGTATGATTTGTTAATTTACTAGAAATGTATGCATGTACCTAGTACGTGAAAAAATTAAAGGCAGATAAATAAAAAAAAAATGTTGAAGTAAATAAAAATTAAGCATAAAATGTTGATGATGACTAATCAAGCGTTTTTTTTATATGCGTAGCAGCAATTGAATGTTATCTGACCCTCGATTTAGTTACACTCTTTCTTTATTTTAACATTTTTTTTTTTATATGTACATACATTTTTGCCGAATGTGTGCATGGCAGCGTTTGATGCTATTTTTAAGCAGCGATATGAATTTGTTTACACATGGTAGTAATATACTATGTAAAACGAGGCGAACTTTTGGCAAAACAACTTAAGTAGATTTAGCTTTTCGATTCAGAAGTCAGGACTTTTAAGGAAAAAACAAAAATTTGTACAATTTACATTAAAATGCTATCCTAGGTAATGCTTTGACATGTTTATTAAATAAGCTTTTCAATGGAGCCCGTCTTATAGAAAGTACTAACACGATTTATGGTATTTTAATAAAAGTGCGTAATCATTTATTTTTGTCCAAAATATTTGGCTTCCGCGTCGCAATAAATAATCAACAAATATGTTTATTTGACATTTGTTGTAAGCAAATCTCATACAAAATTTTCTTCCATTCTTCGAAAATGCTCTTTTCTATTGAGTGTCATACGCAACGCCGCAGATCACCAACAACGGTGCACTCTGACGCGTCCACATCACTCCACGCGAACGCTGCCAACTGTGCGACAAACGTCAGCCGTTAGAGACTGGCGCAGTCTGCTGCGAAATAAAGGGTATAGACAGCACAATTAACTGCTTGGTTGGTTGGGCACAGTAGGGGAAAATAAGCGAAGAAGAGTAGAAAATATATTACCCAATACAAAGCAAAAAAAGGTAAAAAAAAAACAAAAAAAAACTACAAAAAAAAACAGTGACACAAAAAATAGAGAATAAGCCGAAGTTAATTAAAAATGGTTTACGAAAAAATGCTGAATGCAGCTAATGGTGTTAAAAATGTAATAAAAAACAATACACAAACAGTTACGGAAGAAAGAAAGTAATTAAATTCGCTATGAAAGCGGCAAACGAATACTTTTTTGCTTTTTCGCTTCTGTTTTTTCTTTTTCTTTCAGTTTTATGCTTTTTTTCATTTAGAATAAATAAAAATTATTTATATGTATTATATATACTAGATTTTGTTTTTTGTTAAATCATATTTAGCATTAAAGGTATATTAACTGCTGCGTTTATTATTACTAGGCGTTGCTGCTGCTGCTGCTGAAAATTGTGAGTGCCATAGGCCGTCAAAAGCGGCGGCGTTTTCATTTGCGCCACCACTATCACCGCCTCGCACACCCGTCGTATACAACGCGCATTAGCACGAACACATGATCCGTCAGCTAAAGTTGCACAAAATCGTTCTCTGCTTCTATCACTGCTCCGCTCCCCACGGGGCTTTTGTTTTTCTTCTCCACTTTATGGTATGTACTATCGCATGTGCTTAGAAATGCTTACTGTTTGTTGCTGCTGCTCTACCCTGCTTCTTCCCTGGGCACCTTCAGCTGTTTGTTTACGGCGTTTACTAATAGTAGCTTAATTATTTGTTTGTTTTATTTGTTATTGTAAATGTAGTTTGCTATGGTACGATTTCATATTTGTATGCTTTTTGTTTTCGTATGTAGTACTAAGAGTAGTAGTTTGTTGTTGTATTTTATAATTAATATTATTATTACGTTTAACCAGTCTATTCATATTCCAAAATGTTCTTGTGGTAAAATAGTAAATAGCTGAAATAAAGAACAGAAAAAGAAAATAGAAAAAATATTGCAAAAGTAAAAGTTGAAAATAAAATATTCTTAATCGATTACACTTAGCAACTATTTTCATTACAAAATTTAACTCGATTTAAGAAGTAACTTTTTAAATTACAAAAAAAAAAGAAAAACTAATTTAACTCAATAAACTAAATTTTCTTCTAACCAATGACATCTACATCCTACATACATACCCTTCGCTGTCCAGCACCTGCTTTAACGTAGCCGTAGTAATGATATGATCATCACACTTCACCCATGTATCTTTATGGTGTCGCACATAGGCAATATAGTGACCCGAATCGATGGTGCCCACATGATTGACCACCGCATAGAGGGAGTAACGGAAATCGCCATACGCATTATTTTTCTCCGACATGAACGGCGTCATATCGAATTCAACGGGGAATGAAATGAACGTGGATACTTTTTTGCCAATCAATGTGGAATACTCGAAACGGTTCAAATGGAAGCTGGCCACACTAGGCAGTGTGCGAAGGCTAAATTGTTTCGTTGACTCCTGGTATGATTTGCAGGTGGAACATTTGATTTTCCCCGATTCACCGAGGTGTTCAGCGCGTGTATAACGCTCCAAACAATCTATAAGCGTCTTTGGCGTAGTGCCACCATGCGCTGTCTCACCCAAATCCAAGGATATATCCCAAAATGGATCGATGGTGGTTGAAACCCCCTTGCACGCTTGACACACCACATCGCTTTGCAGCATTCCAGTGAAGATTTGATCTATTATGCAGTTACACTGCGTCGGGCAGTTGCTATTCATGTTGGCATTGCTATTGCCATGCTGATTACCACTACCACCGCCTCCTGTGCTACACACACCAGACGATGTTGGACTATTCTGCTTATTGACACTTTCACACTCCGTTTTTGCTTTAATGCAGTGACGATGCAGCACGTCCAGCGTGGCAATGAAAAATTCGTGCGCGTCTTGCTGTTCATAGCCGGCCAAATGCTTTGCATGATTCCAGATCAAATGCAATAGGCGGTGCAATGATAAAGGTGAGCGAGAGCCACTATAAAATTCCTATTCAAGCACGATAAATAAAGTGAAAATAAAGCAAAGAGAAGAAGTATATTTATAACACAAACCTGATATAATCGAGAAACCTCACAAACGAGACATTTTAATGATGACTTGGCGTTGCACTCGTGTCGCTCCGATAAGAAATAATCAGAGAGTAGTGGTGTGTGTATTAATGCCTACATAATATTGCGATAAAAGAATGCAATCATGAATCATGCACACTAACTCAGCACTTACCTGCACTATGCAATTCATGAAACACGTGGAGCCAAGATTAATTAAGCCGCGTAATCCAATAGTCTCGTTAGCGCGTACATGCCGACGTCGCGGGTTGGCCAGCAGCAAATTTGTTTCCTTAGGCGTCGGTATCCACGGCTGCCAACTGAGACTCTTGCTTATATCTTTTGCCTCCAAGCGCCTATTGACAGTTGCTATCTCGCGGCAACGGGAATCGTAGATGAAATTCCGACAAGAGTTGCAATACAGAGTGCCATGTGATAGCTCCAATGCGATTGCATGCTTTTTCGCACGTAGATGTGTAGCGATGTGAGCGCCACGGCAGCCGAAGTAGATGCAATGCAGGCAGGCATACACTTGGAGTCCATAGCTGCCGCACTCAAAGCAACAGCAAGAAAGCGCCTGCAAAAACACACCCACAAAGAACAAACAATTCTTTTAAAGGAATATAAAAGTGTAGTACACAATTCTTTACGGTTTATGCAATTGATTTACTGTACTGTGTACCCAGTAAATGAACGATAAAAAATTCCTATCGCATAGATCTTTTGTATGTTTTTCACACCTTTTTCTCTCGCGCATCCTTATTCACACACGCCGAAAAGTATGCATCAATTACGCGAAATGTATCCAAGGTTTGCTCCTTTACGTACGCTTGGAAATGCTTGCAGCCCGTCTCCGCCATAGTTTTCGTCAACTCACAGCCCTGGCCAACAGCGCTCGCTGCTGCTGAAGCAGCTTGCGTGCGTCGGACACCGCTACTGCCTGCTGCTCCAACAGCTGTACCAGTCACCTTTTGGTGCCCTTTCCCGTGCCCCTTTTGCAGCTGTTTATGGCTGCGAGTCCTGCGTAGTGGCGGCGTTGCGGTCAGCTGCTTTTCTTCTGGACCTGCGCCTGCGCCGGCGCTGGCTCTGCTACTATTACAATTACTACTGTTGCCACTACCACCGCTGTACCCGATTTACTCTGAACGGCTGCTGCTCCAGTCTTCCTCGTTGTTGTTGTTTCTGCAGCACCTTCGATATCTTTCTGCCTGTTTGCAATAATCGTATTCGGTACACCTTACGTCAACGCCACCGACACCAGACCTACTATCACCACTACAACGGAAGATATCGAAACCAACCCCGTCACAGACGCCGTCACCGTCAGCTTTGAAATCAACAGCACACCGGTCGTCGCTACTATTTCCACTCTTTACACCACCACTGTCACCAGCTCCTGGTCCAACCGCTTTTGTTTCGTTTTTCTTCAATGCTAACGCAGCCTTTTTACTTTTACGCAGTTTTCGCAGAATTTCGTTGCCTTCTCTTCTAGGAGCTATTCTACCTAGCCAATCGATAGCTATGCTGACACGACATTTTGCACTGTGCACAGATTTTTAGCCAGTTTTTATCCAACTTTTCGTTTTTTTACTGCCCTTTGGGGCGACGCACTAGAGCTGGAAAACAGGCGATGGCATAATCGATAGTATCGACGTTTCCAATTTTCCCTATTATCGATGTTTTTTCGCCACTATCGTTAATTTTTCTCCCATGTATCATCATGTAGAAGCAAATGGATACAATTTTATGAAAATTATGCAGGGGTGTACCTTCTCTTTTCATTCAATCAAAAAACGTATTTGGGCGTGTTGTCTCTTCTTATTATCTAAGTTCTTTGGACACATTACATTTTTTAAAAAACGCCTTTTTAAGAAGTTTTCTAAAAATGCAGCTGTTTACACCATGCGTTACGTGAGCCACTCTATAATAAAATTTTAGAAAATTTCCGTATTTTTTACAGTTCGATTTCCGAAGTTACACATTCATTTATACACGGGAACATCGTTAGTGCATCGATATTTTGATTTCAAAACATCGATGGCAAAAACATCGATATTTCTCCAGCTCTACGTTCGGTATGCATACTGGCAAACTGCATGCAATTGTTGTTGCAGAAAACTCTGAGAGAGAGACAGAAATCGAGAGCGCAAACTGCTGTAAAATTGGTGGTGCCATAGTGTTGCCAGGTTTACCTGCCTATTCCCTTCTTGAACATGCAATTCTATATAGATTTTTCTCGTTTTTCATTTTAGGTTTTCCCGTTTTTCCCCTTGTTATATAACCCAGTTTTTAAAAACGGCAAAAAAATTTTATTTTTGTACGATCAATAAATTGTTAATATAAAAATATTACTTTAAAACATATCGTCAGTGATACTGCAAAACGGTCTATGTCTATTAGTACCCTTGACAATTAGATTGTCTATTGCAATTGTGATGCAATTTTTTAATCACTTAACATTGTTTTCAACAGGATAGATAAGTGATCAAATGCAGAAAATGCAATATCGTGCTCCGCCGCAAACGCACATAGCTCTATATTTTTTTATTTTTTCTCAGTATACGCATTTTTTTCTTAAAAAGGTATTTTATCTTATTTTATTTCATTTCATTACGAATATACTATAAAAAAGCAAATTTTGTTTAGGAAAAAATGTGAAATTTTATATTTTTCCCCCAAATGGGGATTAATTTCTTCCCGTTTTTCTTCTCGTTCTACTGAGCTAAGGCAGTGTCAAATCGAGCTGTCACAATTGATACCACCTTGTATTATTGCATCATGCCATGAACCAACCATGCGATTGTTCAGATAATACGGTGTTCGCATGAGGCGATTTTTCAGGAAATTTCAAAGGCGATTTGTCGAATCAAAAGTTGGCTGCACCAACAAACTTCATTGGAAGCGGTTAGCTGAACGGCCGTTCACACCAGGCGATTGTTGCTTTCAACTAAAACTTGCCTGTAAAATCACCTCATGCGAACACCGTATAAGACATGTTGTATATAACATTATACTGTTAATAAAGTGATTTTTAAAGAAAAAAGTACATTTGTTAAAAAAAAATATTTTAATTAGTTGGCTCATCGTAAATATACGTCTGCGACAAAGAACGTAACTTAGAAATCACGGTGTTTGGTTTCCACTCTCGATATTTTACTGTTTATTTTTGTATGTATTTTTGGTATAATTGCAGAATACATACATTTCTTTGATTAAAAAAATTTATATTGGGACCGATAGGGGTCTTAGTCCTGATCATAACGGTATTATTTTTTGAGGCGGAAATAATTACTGGTGTTATGGAAGGTCGAAGAGTCAATTTTTTTAAAGGTGTTCTCCGCAAGTCCCTCCCGTTCAGCCAGAAATTCAGAAGAATTCTACTTCGTGATGGTTATAATCCTTAAGCTCGGCCGAAGGCCAGCTACGTAGAAAGAAGTTCTGCGAAAAAATACTTGCGGTTGTTCATATAAGACGTGTTGTGTATAAAATGAAAGCTCGATGTACACCTATTTTAGGTAATATTTATATATAAAGTTAATAAAGTGATTTTGAAAGAAAAAAGTACATTTGTAAAAAAAAAAATTATTTTTATAAAAACTTGTTTTTCATAAATTTTATCATCAAAGAATATCACTATTTCCTTTGCCTTTCTAACGGCATCCTTCAAATATCAGTAATAGTTTACGAGATATTTAAGTTTAATGAAATCCATTTTTTACTTTTTAGCCTTGCATAAAACTTACATTTATATAGAGCCCACCACCTTTTTGTTTGAGAAATGTGCGTTGAGCTAATGCCAGATAAAATTTTGTGGCTTTGCGTGACATTTATAACTTTGCGAGCAAAGTGGCAGGCGCAAAAGGCATGCCACAATGAACGCAAATAAAGCAATTTTTACTGCTTTTTTAGTCGTCAAAAGTACTATGCATTTTATATATTTAGCTTTAAAAAATATCAGAAATGTAATCAGATTTTACGTTTCTGCATGAAAACCCGAATTTCGGACGAAACAAAATATTAAACCGGCTGATTGTGAACGCGTGCGCAAGGATATGGGAATTGGTCATCTTTTCGCTTCGCGCTGCTGCTGCAACGATCTAAGTGGCATGTTTTGTGCATTTTCATACAATTCATCTTAAGCTTGCTATACATTTCAATGCGAGCGTGAGCGTGAATGTTCGCAAAGGCAAAGAATTATATTTGTATTCTTATGGACGCTCACACACATCTGTAAAAACTTGTCGTTCACATGCGAATGCTTTGCGTACGCACACGTTTGAGTGTGAGCTTGAAAAAAAGACATATTATGCATTTTAAATTTCTTTTTATTCTATAATTCTGAATGATATTTTAATTCTCTATCTTTTGATGTATCAACTATTGAAAAAAGTTAAGTAGTAACGAAAATATTGGTCAAAATAAAAAGCTCACGCTAACGATCGCATTGAACCGTATAGCAGGCTTTACCTGTTAAGCGAATCTGTCACGCAAAGCGAAACAAGCGTTTTATCTGGCGTCAGCTTTATGGCATTTGTTCGAAATATACGTTCTCTGTTCGTATCTTCCTGCGATTGCAACACTGCACTGAATATCCCAGCTGCAATCACTGCCAACGGTTGTTAGGGAAATTTTATTTTGTCTGCTAATTTTTCGAATTCTTGACCGGCGGCGGGCGCAGTTTCGTGACAAAATAAATTAATTTATATAGGTTTGCAATATTATTAAATATGGAATTTGAAAAGGCGAGAACATCGCTCAAACTATACTCAACAATGCAAATGAGTGGGATGTTAGCACATAAAGTAAACAACGAAAATGTGGAGTTAATTACCGCACCCGCAGGTAGCAGATGCCAAAAGAAGATACTGCATCCTCGAACGCCAAGTAAAACAATTAATTGTAGCATATCTACAACAATAAACAGCATGTCGAGTAGTTCATCAAAACAAATGTCTTGTTCTGCCGCGCTGAGTACTCCGCCAGCGAAGCGATTTCATCGCATAAGAAATCCATTCGAACCTGTCTTGGCGGAACGTCTGCATTTGCCATTGATTGCAAGGTTAGTGTATTTTTCAAGATATTTCTTTATTTCGTTTTGATTCATTGCAATTTTATCCAGTCCCTCACTGTTTCAACGTCCCACGACGCCACAACTATCATCTACACAGTTTGAATGGAATATAGATGAAGTGTCTTCCCTGAAACCAGCGAATGTCGAACCACATGAAACACAGTTTCACGACTCGCCTGATCCCGAGTATGAAGCTAAAGCACAATCAGCGATAAGCTCTTACTTTAAAGAGCATCAAATTGTACCAAGTCCTGTAGAGTGTCCCCTTCGTAGTCATCGCATCATTCTGTCCGAACTAAATAGTTACACCCCGATTTCAAAATCGGGACGCCGCATACGTGACTGCGGCACGCAAACAGAACTATCATTGCCCGTGGTGTTGCCACGCGCTTTAGAAGAAGCATTAATGCCATATTTTCAACCACATTTGGCTGTGGCTGATCGTCATAACTGCGAGACGGATTCGCAAATGCGCTTCAGTACTGATTCACATGCATCTATATTTAATGATATTAAAGATGTGTCACTGCGACGAAATCTATTCGATATGAAAAATATTGTAGTGTTCGAAGAGGGGAGAACGCCCACAACAGAAGCCAAATGTAAAATGACGCATTCAAATTCCAGTCCGTCCTCTAATTGCGGTAGTTCGTGTGGCAGTCAATTTGTCATTGTTGGTAAACTTTCAGACTCTTTGGACAAGAGTTCATTCGGCTCGCTTTCACCTATTTCAGCCTCTGATGGACTTTCCAACTCGCCGCATTCGCCATATAAAAATCGTAGTGAAATGAAACCGCGCATACACACTTTTCTACAGGATCTCTCTGATGTAGAACAGCTGTCGCCAATACATCCGCAAGTACGACAAACAAGTAAGCGGTGTCTCGTTAAACCACAGGAAACGAGCAAATCACAGTATTCGTCGAAGGATAGTTATCGTTGTAATGCATTAAATCAAAGCGAGGCAACGACGTTAGGTGATATTTCACTGGCTTACATTAATGGTCGGAATAATGAAAGTGAAAATTTTACGCCAGATGGCAGTTCGTCA